CTGAGGGTCAAGGTAGTGTCGAAGAAGATTCCGATTTTGGTGACTTTGCAGGTTTTGCGGACTTCGGCTCTGCATTTGGACAAGAGAACAGCGGAGAGTCGCGAGACTGGTTCTCAGGTGATGAAAATAGCGTGAATTCACCACCAGCTGTGAAAACAGCAACTAGCAACCAAGGACGTGACAATGAAGGCGCCGATTTTGCAGCATTTCCGGAGCATGAGGGAAGTCTGAATCAAGAAAATATTACCAATGGGAGCTGTGAGCAGGGAAATTCAAATGCAAGTGATAGCAAAAAAAATTATAACAATAGTGAAAATAGAAATAATTCAATTAATGGCAGTTACGACATAGATTCTGATGATGATTTTGGTGATTTTGCAAGTGTGGAGAAGAGCACTGGAAGACCTGAAGAGGTCTCCATGGATAGTGAAAGCAAAACTGTAGAAATTCAGCCAGATCTTGAAAGAGAATGTGTGTCTATGGGAAGAACTTGTTCTGAAAGTGATATAAAATCTGACAGAGTGGATGTCAAAAGTGAAACAAAGACTGTACAGTGTAATGGTGATACAGCTGATAAAGAATTAGTTAGCCATTGTGAAGAATCAACAGTAAACCATACATCAGAGGGTTTTTCTAATGCTGATAAGGGTCAAGACAATGAACTTGGAACAAAAAGGGACACCAACAATGTGGAAAATGTTCCAAATGCTGTGACCAAAGATGAAGAATCAAGGTCATTGGACAAGACATTTGTGGCTGTCCAGCATGAGGAATACCACCCTGGTGATAGTGTTTTGACTGAACCAGAAAGAGAAGATGACAAAATAAAAAACAGTGTGGAGGGTGAGATTTCATCCAGTAACAAAGGAAAAGAACGCTTAGAAAATACTAAGACACCACCAGAATACAAGGAATTAAATGATGATGGTTTTGGAGAATTTGCTGACTTTACTGGACCAATGGTAAAACAACCGTCCGTTGATAATGATGATGAGGACAAAGAGGATGAGTTGCACAACAAACAAATGCCTCATTCACCAGTGATTTCTGTGCCAACAGGTGATGGAAAGGAAGATTCCTCATGCGTGCAAGTTGCTTCTGTGCAGAACAAAGGTGATGATGATGAATTTGGAGATTTTGGTTCATTTGGTGAAGGACATGATCAAAATTATGAAAGTACAACTGACTTCATTGCAGTCGATTCTAGAACAGAATGTCTGTCTGCTCAGAATGGTGATGATGGTGATGATGACGACTTTGGAGAGTTTGGTAGTTCTAGTAATGCAGAAAGCACTTCCCCTCCTGAAGCTCAAAACAGTGGTGATTTTGGTGACTTCGGTACATTTAAGTCAGAAACAAAAGATTCCTGGAAAGTCAATGGTGGAAAAGATGACACTGAGGATTTTGACATTTCTAATGCCAAAGGAAAAACTATACCTAGTGAAGATGAAAGTGCTAGTGATTTTGGTGACTTTGGTGCATTTAATTCAATGACAAAAGATTCCAATAATGAGGATGGTGATGGGTTTGGGGATTTTGGCACTTCTAGTTCTGGAGAAAAAACATTACCAAGCAAAGATCACGACAATGATGATTTTGGTGACTTTGGTACATTTAATTCAAGGACAAGAGATTCTCATAACAATGATGATGATAGCTTTGGGGATTTTGGCACATCCAACACTGGAGAAAAATCATTACCTAAAGGACATCAAGACCATGATGATTTTGGTAACTTTGGTGCATTTGATTCAAGTACGAAAGATTCTCAAAAAGATAGTGACATGGATAATGACTTTGGTGATTTTGGCAGTTTTGAGTCAAATTCCAAGAAAGATGAAAACAATTCTGATGACTTTGGTAGTTTTGAGTCAAATACCAAAGATGACAAGAGTGGTGATTCTAATAGTGACAGGTTTGTGGATTTTGGAGCCTTTGATGCACAACCTAAAGATTCGTCAGACAAGAATATAACTGACAATGAATTTGGAGATTTTGGTAGTTTTGAATCTAGAATGAAAGATTTACCAAAAAGGGAACAAAGAAGCTCAAATGTAAAAGATTTCCGTGCATCAGAATTGAAAGATGATGGTAAATTTGGAGATTTTAGTACTTCAGCACCACAAAACTGTGAAAAAAAGAAAAACTTACAAAGTGACGAGTTTGGTGCATTGAATTCTGTCTCAAAGGACATCAATAATTCCAGAGAATCCAGTGATAATTTTGGCAATTTAAGCAGTGGAGATGGAAAAGAAGGCAGTTTTGCAACATTTCCTACCTCTCGTTCAGAATCGTCCGCCAGGAGGAATGAAAACTCAAAACAAAGAGGAACATCAACCTCATATTTTGTTCCTGGCAGCAATGTCATTATCAAGCAAGTAGAAGATACTTTCTCCCCATGCTTCATATCAGAACAGAGACATATTTCACACTGCCAGTGTGATGTTTTGTCTTCTCGAGTTGAACAAAGTTTGAAAAGGTAGGTTTGAGAGGCTACTTTAACAACAGTAAGCACCAGTCAGGTGTCAACCTGTTATAGATTTCTTCCTTATATTGGTTGTTTTATATATATGGGTTGTTGATCAAGCGTAAGCTGAATTTTATGGCTGGATATTGGCCAAGTTCTTTTTTTTGTACGTGTATGGACCAAGATGGAGGCAAGGTCCATAAACTAGCAAAGAAAGATTGAGGCCAATATCAAGGCATCTTGACTGAACAAGTTTGATCATTAAAGAATTTGTTATTATTAGTCCCGAGCAGGAAAGATAGCACCATCTTGCCCACTCAGGTAGCCAATCACAGCACAGGATTTGGTTCATCTCGCCTACTCACGGAGATAACAATATTATGATGTACAATGCTATACACTTGTTAGTAGTTGAGGCCATGGAGTCACATTGTCCTCTACCATCATAGTGCTAATTATGTCATCACTTTTTAGTAACTTGGGNTCATTATCAAGCAAGTAGAAGATACTTTCTCCCCATGCTTCATATCAGAACAGAGACATATTTCACACTGTCACTGTGATGTTTTGTCTTCTCGAGTTGAACAAAGTTTGAAAAGGTAGGTTTCAGAGGCTACTTTAACAACAGTCAGTACCGGTCAGGTGTCAACCTGTTATTGATTTCTTCCTTATAATGGTTGTTGTATATATGTATGGGTTGCTGACCAAACATAAGCTGAATTTTATGACTGTATAATTGCCAAGTGCTCTTTTTTTGCATGTGTATGGATCAAGATGTTGAGGTCCATAAGCTGGCAAAATAAGAATATGATGTTTAATTTGCAGCCTGGATCTATGTTGATGCCTGAACCATACAGTAAATTACCACATTCTCCTGGTTTGGTAAGGACTCCTACTTCTGATTGCTCCACTACATCTGTGGAGATTTATGTATTTTTTGTGCATTTTGTGGACCAATTTTCTGTATTTTGTAGTCAAAAGTGCAATTGACAAAAGATTTCAATGTACATGATAAAAAAAAATTATTCTGCTTTTTTTTATCTGTTGTCCACGATTTCTGGGATAAAGGGTTTCTTGGAGCCTGTTAAAGGATCTCATCTACCAGCCCAAAGTAACACACAGGACAAGATGTCATCGCATCAGTCAGCTCATCCAACGCATCCTGAAATTGGTCTTCCTGATCTCAGTGTAAGTTTATACAGGACATGTCAAATGAAAGTTCTGTTTGTGATGCTTGTGTTTTTAATTTGTTCATTGTGCACTGGAATCTGACTTGTTCAAGGTTATTTTTGTTCTTTTGGATTCTAGTTCTTTTGTTTTAACCAGAGAATTAGAAAGAGTTACTAACACTTAAATTGTGCATGGTACAAAACAAATATTTTTCTAAGGAATTTATGATTTCCAACAGCTAAAGCTGATAAAACAACAATCTCAGTAAGAGAAGGTGTGATACTTTTTATCTGAAAAAAATAAGAAAATGAAAAGTGAAAAAGTGTCGCTATTCAAAGACTGTATGTTTTTTCAACAAAGGACAGTTTTTGGCTGTATACAAATTTGTGGAAAATAGTGACAAAAATGAGCGGTGGAGATATCCACAGTCAAGAGTACCTGTTTGTTTAACTATGTCTTAAGGCTTTGCCAAGATCTTAGTGTCAATTTTATTTTCAGTTTGTGCTGGGTAATGGCCAGAAACCCACTACATCAAAATCAGGTGAGCTAACATGTCCATGGATTCAAACCAATTTAGAAGTTCTATCAGATTTGAAAAGTAACCAATGAACAGGGGAAGGGCTTTTGACAGTACTGGTGAAGATAAATTATGTGCAGAGCAGAGAGTTCATAACAACAGTACTGGTTTGTTTAATTCACTTTGGTACTCAAGAACTTGAACAATTTTTTAGCACTCTTTAGGTTGTATTTGGTAGAATTTGAAGTAAATTCTTCCAAGGATCAAGTTTCAAGCAAAACATTGTTAAAACTTAGACTATAGAATTATGAAAGGTTGCAAGAGATTTTGATGGGTATGGTAATTGTGATGTAATGTTATGTTGGGAGTCATCAGATATTTTGCATCTATCAGTCATGTTTAGGGGATGTTCATACATGTTAGTACTGAGTTAATAACTGAAGATTACGCATGTGGGAAAGCAAACCAAATTGGTATAATTCAGTTAAACAATGTATTGTCCACAATAGGGTCTAAAACTGGATCTAAAGTGAAAGTTCAAGAAAGGTGCCTTTGTAGATATCTACTAATGCTGCAGCAGTAGCTTTGATGTTGTTATATTGCGATTGTTTTGATAGATATCAAGGATAATGTGTCGGACACAACATCAGAATCTTCTTCTCTTGATCTGGATTTCTTTGCACCAAGCACAACTCAACCTTCAGAAGGAAAGCCAGGTATGGTATATGTCCTGATTGAATTTTAATAAAATAATTTTTGGAATCTACATGAATTTACATGATCTTTTAATCTCAGTCTATATTGTCCTTAGTTTGTCTTAATTGGGAAGATATTTGTATTAAAAACTTGAAACAGTGATTTGTCACATTTTCTAAACTCCTTGCATTTTGTCAAAAATTCTTCACAACATGCTGTACTTTCAACTCTCTTCCCTGAATCCCAGTGTTTGAAATTTTATACTGTCTAAAAAAACTACAAGAAATGTTAGATGAATACACCTTTTTCAGTGGTTTAACATACAATATATGTGCCAATACTTGCAATGAGCAAAATGCCCACATGTGTTATTGTTCCTCTACAAAACATGGAAAAGATCTTGTGGACTTGTAACAAAGTTTTCCTGTGCCAGGAATGCATAAGAATTGGGAGTGTTGGTTTTAATAGAGGAGTAAAAGTGGAGAACCCAGAGAAAAACCTTTGAAGCATAGATGAGACCCAATGAAAGGTTAAACTCACTTACAACACCGGGTCAAGGAATATCCCAGGCTATAATGGTGGGAAGCAAGCATCCTCAGCAATGCACCACCCTTGTGCTTGATATGTTATTTCTCTTATAGTATTCATACAACATTATTTCTCTAATAATATTCTTGATTAAAATTTGCAACATTATTTCTCTAGTACAGTGATATTCATACACAGACTTAATTAAAAACTCTCTGCAGTTATTAACTATTAAGATATCCCATATGAATTTATAGAACACTCTTTACTTTTTTTTCTCTTCTTGCATTTATTTTCAGAGTCCAGAGGTTTGTATGAAGAAGACTTATTGGGCCTGAATATTTTCTCGTCGTCACTGGAGCCTCAGAAGTCAGACAGTCCTAAGCCACAGAAGACATCAGACACCAAGAAGGTGTGGCAGCATGGTGGAGTCACCATACCACTCTCTTCACAAGAAAGCAGAGCTCAGCTCAGTGCTGCCGCCAAGAGTATATTAGATGAGCTTGAAGACTTGAGGTTCATGAGTTCTTCTGTTTTGATGTTCCCATTAAAGTCCTAGTAACTAGTTGTGAAATCAGACAAAGAGGATACAGTTATTTGCTCAAATTGTTATGTGAAGCACTTTTTAATTTTCATTCAGTATTTGCCACAGCCTTAAATGGAAGACAGTTCAATGCGACTTTTACGTGGTACTGTTCAGTATGTTGTTTGTGAATTAACGCTGTTCTATTGTTTAAATTCCCTACCAAGGATGCTCCCAGGGTGTTCAAGTCTTAGTTAGTTAAATTATGTTAATCAGTTATTCTCACCGGTGATCATGAGTTTTTCTCAAGCTAACATGTTTTATTAACCTATTTACAAAAGCAATCATCTTATGAAGAAATATCTTCACTAATAATTACTCCATAGATTTGAGATGTGCAGGAAAAAAAGAGATTAAAACTGGCTTGTGTGTCACAGAAAGGGTTAAATAGATCGATAGACATCATAGTGATACGCTCTGTAGGATTGTTGATTTGAAACAAAGTTTCGGTAAATAATTGTTTTGACAGACAGAGTGTTTGTACCACATTTCATTAGTTTGATTTGTTTGTCTTTTAAGAAAAACAGAGAAACAGTCAGGCCAGATTTGGTGTGGGTGTTAGTTTTCCACCAAGCAGGCATTTTCTTGCCTCCCTCCCCTCTCCCCTCCACCCACCCCCTCCCCTCAACACAACAACAATTTGATTTATTTAATCAACTAAAACTCGTGATCATAAAGTTTTCTGATAACATAAATGCATGTCAGGACCTGGTCAATATTACAACTGTATTGTTTAGTCATAATTATTATAGAGGGAAAATGTCGTGACCTGAACAGGGCAATTTGTTGTGGTTTTGTTCCCTTTTCTGACCTTGACCATGTGCAGAGCACAGTATGTTGTGAGATGTTCCTGAGAACCCCACCCAACAGAAATCTTCCCTCAACAGAAATTACACATTTTCATGGACGTTTTGCTGCATTTCTGTTTTGGCCTTTGAAGTTTCCCTCTGTTAGTTTTCTATATTATTAGCTACCACTATTAGCTATGACAATGTGATAAGTACTATACCATGTTAAATATTGCATAATGCTATCCTGTGAACAAGCTCCCAGCGAGCTAAGTGAGCCGACCATTGAACTGATTTTTTTCTCCCCCTGACCGCATTTAGGAGTCTGTTCACAGGCTAGCATAATGCTAAATATGAGTGCTAAGCATTATTTTTATCAAATTGTATTGTAAATAGCTTTATGTCTATACTATATGTGAAGAGGGGAATAACTATTAGGACTCTATGCGTCAGTATATACCATGACAATATTCCCTAGGTGTGATAATTTAGTGTGGTAGGGAACGCAAAACTTGTTAGATAAGCATTTCATTATTCTTTAGTGCAGATAATAAACTTAACGGTATTTGAGAAAGAGGTTAATTTTTCTCAGAAAGAAAACAATGGTAATTTTGAGAAATAGAAATTGTAGTTTTTACTTCAAGGGATAAATGCTCAAGCAATGTATTCTTAAAATAAATTGCACTGTATTATTTCAACGAAACAGAAAAAAAAGATGTGGTCGTTTGCTTTAATTTGCCATTAATGATAAAATAAGTTCAAGTCCAAATTTCACAATGATGTACGTGCAAAGTCCCATGGAAGAAAGAGTCACCTAGCGTGTTAAATTCATATTGACATTAAAGGTCGGCACACACGAAGTAAAAAGTTCCTGCGAATAGTCCGTGCAACTAGTCGCGGGGGACATGTAGTCCCATCGTGTGAGCTAACTATTTTTACCACAAAATCTAGTCGCAGGGACTAAAATTTGGTCCCTGCGACGAGGTGCGACTTGTTCCTCAAAACGCTTCGTGTGAACTGTTCGTGGGACAAGTCCCTGGGACCAGTCCCTTCGTGTAAACTCTTCAGGGGACTAGTTGCAGGGACTACTCGCAGGGACTAGTCTCCTCGTGTTTGCCGACCTTATTAAACGGCACACTGTTTCCTATGTTTGTCCATACCGTTGGGATATCCAGCCATACCAGAAAGGGGTTTTGGTTGGACGTATTGGGGGTCGGGGAGGGAGGATTAAGATGGAAATTTTCTTTCTTTGGGGGCCTCAAGAGGAGTCATATCCAGACGTGGACTGGTAAAAGTCTTAAAACCCTTAACCAGTATGAGTTCGTGATGCACTTTCTCAAACAGCTGTTCCAGACATCGGTAGTAAAGATATTTGCACCGTGATCCAGGAAAATAAAGTAAAGCGATATGCAATTCTACACTACTTTCTGTAAACCTTTTTTTTTAACTTGAGCAAAACAAAAGATCTTTCGCTCTTGCATATCAAAAAGACTATCAGTCGCCGCACTGTTTGAAAAAAAAAACTGATATCCTGTTCCAGACTCTTACTCATCAACCCGATCAGCGATATGAAGCCGGCAGAACGTTAACCTTGTCAAGGAATTATTCCCTTTTCCCCGGGCTAAAACTTGATTCCGAGCCCGCTCATTCTACACCGTAGCATTTGTCACTGTCTTTGAAGACGTTTCATCAATGTTAGGTCATTTGTAAATCTCCTCAGTGGGGCAAATGCCCGACCCACGGGACAGAGGGTGCGTTCCTTTTGGTTGATTTGGATCAGGATCGCTCTGATTCTTGTAAACGTATGCCGCTACAATTTTCGTCCCACCTCACCTAACTAACCCTTGCCAAATGTCCGACAAATGCCCGCGAGGCAGAGCGTGATCGGTCTAAGTAATCGGACGGAACAATAAACTCTTTTCTGGTCAAATTTCCTTTAACTTTCTTTTATTTTCATTCATCGTTTCATACACGCATAGTCTTACTTCCGAAATTAATTATTCTTAAATATAAAAGATTTTTTTTTATGCGTAACTCATTCCATCTCAGGGATTTGGCCCGCACGGAATCATGTGACCTGTAGTCCCGGAGTGCACTGTTTCCGGTTTTGGTTTGTTTCCGGTGTGGCATTGTGGGCATTTATCCTACTTTTTTATGTCCAGCTTTCAAGTCCGCCCCTTCCAAGTTTCGAAAACCAGCAAATGATTGCACTAAATAAATAAATATGATAGATCAACGCAACAAATTGAGTTACACGATCCATTTTACAACTCATTGCCCGTAGTTCCTTGCCCCGTTCCCCGCCCAGTTCCCGCCCGCGTGCGGGAAGTCACGCAGGCCAGTTGTGTGTGCGCATGACTTCAGTTGGCGCACATCGTCTGTTAGTATTCGCTCGTTTGCTGCTGTGTAGATAAAGTTCCTCTACAGTTCCATACCAGCAAGTGTAAGGGATGGCATTCCGTTGTGGAATTACTCGGTCTTTGTCCCATGTGGTCCGAGCTTGTAAAAGATCTCCGCAAGTAATTTACGGTACCTCGTGGAGGCTTTGTGCTTCGACTTCGAGTCTCGATGAACCAGGTATGGATTTGAACAACGTATCTTAAACTTATTTGTCGTCGCATAAATAAAGATTAGTAACTGTAGAAAATAGCAATTTTAGAAAGAAAAATAGTACTCGAACCTCTTTCTGCCGTCGGAACTGCTGTTTTCTCAAAAGAGAGTGATTTGTTTGTACAATACAATGTTGTGCCACATCACAAAGATTGGTTGATTTGTTTTTCTCCATGGTCACGCAATTAGAGCTGATGCGCTTTTTTGGTGGATTTGTCAAAACCATGGAGAATTCTGCTTCCTTGTATTTATGGCACGTTCTCTCTTAGCTAGTTTAGGAATTATTAACCACTGGGAGACTCCTAGAACAGGAAGAAGCTGGAAATGAAGTCAAAATCCTGTTATCCCTGTGTACAGAGATCGTTAGCTTGATCTTACATCTCCAAGCAATTTTAAACCATTTGAATAGCCTACTTAGCAAGCACTCTATAATAATTAGTGTCCCATATCATTTTTTTCCTCACAAAAATTGTGGCAGGAGACTTTTAAAAATAAAAGAAAAGAAAAATAGTGTGATGGATGGGGGTAAGGATTGACAGAACATGCTTGCTAGCAAACCAGACTTTTTGCCCACAAGCAGGTTTTCTGATTGGTTTGGTGTAATAATGTTGATTGATGAGCTTATCAAATGTGCATGGTTGACAAGGGGAAAGAAGATTAATGACATTAATTTGTTTGAATGTTACTGCAGCAAAGTGGGATTTGCATTCACTCTGAAGACATATCAACAGCTTTTGCCTAACCCAGTAATACAGTCATTAAGTATCAACTGACAAAAACATTTTTTTTTTCACAGTCATAGGCTTTCTGCTAGCATGCATTCCCTTTTCTCCCCTCACCCTCTTTCTTCCTATTTTTTCTCCCTAAGCCTCTTGAGCACCCAAACTGCAGAAATGCTTGTTGCGCTGGCTAGTATTTGAGGAAATAAAAAATATAATTATGGCATGTTATTAATATTGAATTTTTTAGGTCAGATCGGAAAGTGACATCTATCAAACAGATGTTTCCCAAACGGGTTTTTATTAAATAAAAAAGTTAAGGAACATGAAGAGGGGTACTCAGGTAACTGTTGATGCAAAAATGTTTAACTTCACCTATCTACAGTTCACAGGTATGCCACTTAACAGAAATAAACAAATATATCAACTAAACATTATAAGCTTAAGAATCCCAACTGGTGGGAGACAGACCAGTTGACTCTTTTTAAGCATGACTGAGGAGTTGAACTCGGGTCTATCAAGAAACAACTCTAGCTAAGTGGTCAGAGCGGGAATTGAACCCACAACCTCCAGATTTCAAGTCCAGCACTCTAACCACTTGGTCATACTGCCTCCCGAATAAGCAATGTTATTAATTTATATTTCAATCTTTAGATTTAGAGTCTGGACACAAGGACAAAAAGCTATTTACACCTGGACCTCTGGGAGTGAGCTTTGAAACAAAGAAAGCCATGCTTCGGGACCTTGGCTCACGTGACACTGAGTTTATTAATGTTGTGAAAACAATTCGTTCAAGGCTCTTGGGAATTGCTGGTGTCTCTCCAGAAGAATACACTGCTGTTCTTCTTCAAGGCAGTGGAACATATGCTGTAGAGGCTGTACTTACTACAACAACACCGAAAGAAAGTGGAAAAGTTTTCATTATTGAAAATGGCTCTTATGGCAAGAGAATGATGAAGATCTGTGAAGTTGCTGGAATAGAAACAGTACGTCTTTTTACTTAACAATTTATTAACTTAAGACAAGATTAGATGCATAGTGAACTCTTTAATAAAGAGGGTGATATTTTGCAACCCATAAAGTGGACCAAATAATTTTCTACATACATATTTCAAAAGTAATTAACTGATATTAGACTGACCAGCCAGGGTTCCAGGGCTGGCTGGTTGACGGATTCTCTCCTTGAACAAGAAATTTTAATAGATAATTTTACTCTCCCAGTGTCACTCTCCACCCAGGAGATCAAATGGGCACTGGTAAACTAACTGGAAGTGTCGCAAATTACCAGGGGTGACCATGCAGTGGACTGGCATCCCATCCGGGGGGAGCAGCAATCTACTGGTTGCCTTATGTTATGGAAACTCCCAGGATGGGGCTGAACTTGTGATCCATTAGACTCCTGATGACTATACCTTCTGGGAATTTGAAGAAAACAAAACCTAACAGCAACACATGCATGCTGCTTAAAAGCTTTGAGGGTTATGAATTCTTATTGGCGCCTTTTCCTGTCCAGGTTGTATTAAGTGGAGAAGAGAATTCAAAAGCAGATGTGAAGAAAATTGAAGAAATCCTGAAAAATGACAAATCCATCACCAATGTTGCCATGGTGCACTGCGAGACCTCGACAGGTGTCATTCACCCAGTTGCTGAAGTAGGCAAGCTTGTGAAAGAACATGCCCCAGGAGTGTCATTTTTCGTTGATGCCATGAGTAGCTTCGGTGCAGTTCCGCTCAATCTAGATCTTGCCAACGTTGATTTCATGGTCAGCTCTGCAAACAAGTGTATAGAAGGCGTCCCTGGATTCTCATTTGTGATTGGTCACATTGATTCCTTGAAGAAGTGTAAAGGATGGGCACGCAGTCTTTCGCTTGACATTGTAGACCAGTAAAAAGGATTGGAGAAGAGTGGACAGTTTAGGTTTACCCCAGCAACACATGCGATGCTTGCCTTTCGATATGCTTTGTCAGAGTTCAAGGCTGAAGGGGGAGTTGATGGAAGAGCAAACAGGTAAGGGATAAGCAAATAAATAGTTAGCACAAGAAGATGTGTGTTTGTTACTGTAACAATGTAATGTAACCCCAGTATAACAAACTCATGATAGAAAAATTGTTATTAGTACAGTTTCTCAATGTGCTTGCAAAATATGAATAAAGGTAACAAATTAAATGATGGCTCACTCGCTCGTTTTCTTGCTTTCTCACTCTTGCCAACTCGTTAACTCACTGGCGTTTTAATTTTCCAAGTAAGCAAGCAAGATGGAACAAAGCACTATCTTCATGTTTTATTCACCTGTCAGCCATAGCTCTCTACCAGTGAACAACAGAGAGTTGTCCTAATTGTTGTAATTGTAAAACAAAAACATGCCCAGTGCACTGAAATACATCATTTCTTCATAGATACATGGAGAACTGCCACATCCTACAAGATGGAATGAGAAAACTGGGCTTCAAGAAGTTCCTAGATGACACCCATGAAGGGTACATTATCACCTCGTACTACAACCCCAAACACCCTAACTACAATTTCGAAGAGTTTTACAGTCGGCTTAACAGTAAAGACCAAGTTATCTACCCTGGGAAAGTAAGCACTGCCGATTGCTTTAGGATTGGTAACATTGGAAAGTTGTATCCTGCCGATATGGAGCACTTGCTTATGTGTATCAAAGAGGTGCTAGGTGATATGGGAGTACCTGTCCCATTACATGACAGTTAGAGCTAATTAGAACACAGCATAGTGGTGATAATGAAATAAGTGTAGATGTTTGCTGTTGGTATGTTTAGCATGTTGTGAAAAACAGTTTACTGCAGCCATATGTGATGATTGTAAAGAATCATAATTATGCTGTTTCTAATTTTGTGATGTTGAAAGTAATTTTTGAATAAGTGGTGTAATACCAAAACCAGAGATATCAGATCTCTTCAAGCACAAGAAATGCAGGTAGAAGACAATGAACCAAGCTAAATGTTGCCAATCTTAGTAAATTATTATTAATATAATATATAATTTGCAATATTAGGTTTAAGGAAAGTATGAAGCTAAAGCTATAATACTAATAAACTATAAGGTGGAATTCCTAGATCAGTTGGGGTGGGGGGAGGGGGGCCTTCAAACTAAAAGAATATTCCATTGGAGGATTATGGATATTTTTTTGATTTTGGTTCCCTCTTTATTGGTTCAAACACAGCATGAATGTGTTCAAAGTGATTTATAAAATTCATGAACACACATAACACAAGATTTGTTAACCAATTTTATAGTTCAGCAGCTACTAATTTTGAAAGTGTAATTGATAACCAGTCTTTTTAATAGTAGCACTTTGCGGTCATTTTATGTTATCACTTGCATGTCTGCAGTAATAAACCACAGCAAATTTGTACTAAAAAAAATTGAGGCTGGTCAACATAGTGTTTAGCACTCATGATTGAACTGGTAAACTCAGCAGTTCCTCTTTGCTGACTATTATTCACTCAGCAAAAATGTAGGTTTTGTTAAGATAGTTAAGTTGATGAAGACTGAAAATGAATGAAAGTGAAACAATAAATATTATCTCAGTTTGAGATGTGGTGCTAGATGTATAAAGCCTGGAATGTGAGGATAAATTTGAAGCTAAAACAACAGGTGAATTTAATTGACTAAATTTGAGAAAGCTTTGGGATGTGATTTTGCTTAACCTGTCAATCCTGGGTAAAATATGCAATCATAAAAAAACTGCATTCATTTGCAGACATAGAACATGAAACTCTGTACAGCTCTTTTCTCTAAAATTGTGTGACCTTGATAAAAGATTACTGGGATTGCAACAGTGAATTGCACGTGATCCAATAGATAAGTGTTTCTGCCTGTCCTCCTGCAATTTGTAGAAATCAGTCATTAGATGCAGTCCAGTATAAAATGTCTCTCACAGTCTGCTTTTTTGGTTTTGTTCTTTTTTTGCAATCTAACTTGGCTGCTTTAGATTCTCAGCCATCTTCTCAGGTTGATCCAATTTTTGATCCTCGTGTTGGCTGTCAAAATAGCTGTGAATTATTCAATGCTTCCAGACAGAGGCTTACAAATTATTTTTAATTATCCAAAAATCACACACAAACTGTAGCAGTTTGGTTGCACCTCTCACTTCTCGTACGCTCTTCTGATCATTTGGGAATTAGTGAATTGGCACGTTAGACACATGTTTCTCATGAGCTGACTGATCTTTTGCAAAAATTGAATTATTTTAATGGAATACATTCGTGTATGTATTATAAGGAATGTAACATGATTTGTCCAAATGTGCAGTGTAGGTTAGTGAGACTGATAACATGTAATGCATTTGTATGTGTAATAAAATACTTGGAAAATTTATAAATGTATGTACAAATATCTCTGTCCAATTGCCTTATTTGGGTGAAGCTTGTAATTCTTTTCAGCAATTATTTGCATTGCTTTAATTGAACTGTTTTGATCAAAGACAGCCTGATCTTGAATGAGGTTCAAACTCACCCTCAGTGAAGCAAACTGCACAAAGTTACCCCCTTCCCCGACCCCCTGCCTCTCTAATAGGTTGTAGTCCCACTACATCATAGAATTGTCACTTAAGCCCTTGCTTCCACCCCCATCCACCCTCAACTTGGCTCTTCCTTTGCAAGTTTGATTCCTTTCCGTAATCCCCTAACGACCAGGAGTTCTTTTTAAATTTCTAATACTGAAACATTTCGGTACAAAACGTGCCTACCGCTACTTGGTCACATTTCAAGAATGCCATTCCTTTCCTGTTACCCCTCCAGGTCATTCCGACCCATAAGCCACACCCAACACCAGGGCAAATCCACAACCTCAGGGATAGACTTTCAGGCACCTTAGCATTTTTACCACTACAGTAGTAGTAGCCCATAGTCGTGTGAAGGTCTTAGCGAGGTACTAAGCGTCAACAACCTCCCCTCCCCTCCCCTAACCTGGACTTCCTGATAATCCCCTTGTCGCGTCGACAACATGTCAGCTCTGAGACACCCTTCCACTCTGTTGAGTTTTGTTCTCATTCTGTTAAATCTTCATCCGGTATGGGGAATATGTCCAAAGGTCAGTGGAATATGTGGAACACATTCTTGATTATAATGAAACCGTTTATGTGGGTAATCTGAAATTAACTTGTCATCGACACTCCATGAAATGTTTACGACAATCAACATTGCATGCTCAGTCAGCTGACATGTGTGTTTATTTTAGCACGAAGTTTTGCTCCACAACCTCAAGTCAAGGTACTTCCTAGACAAGGGAGAAAAACTGGAGGTAGGGAATCTCATTTACGTCGATTGAATTTCTGCAAACATTTAACTTGGAACACTGAATATCGGGAAGCAAGTTGCGCTCGTGTACAGGCATAATGCTGAAACCTTGATGGCCTGCGAAGCTTGTGGACATTATCTGTTCCTTTGCCGTTTTCTTTCCATTGCAGGCATGGGCTAAACTCATTCCTGAACCTTGGGGAGATAATCGAATGATTGTGAGTAATATTTTACTTACAGAGAATCCAAAGATGTAGAAACACGATTATAATATTCTTGCTTAATGAGAAACTGGAAAGAACTAGCAAAGCAGCAAAGCGCGTTTTCCAATCTGAACTTGCAATGATCTAAAAATAGGCTTGTTGGTTTGTCTTACTAAAGAACGATTCTGAGAGATGTACTCAATTGTTGGCAAGATTAACTTGTAGACAGATTTTTTTTCTTTGTGTGACTGATGAAGCAAAAGAAAAAAAGAAAGGGAATCTCACTTTTTATAATCTAGTGTAAATGCCGCTCAAAAATCAGTCTTTCAGTCTGTTGCTAAATGGTTTATGTGAAATCAGAGTTTTGACATATTTTAGTATTTATTCCAGGGAAGCCTCTCAAATACAGAGCACTTGACATTTAATTTAACAAGCTCAGAAATATCTGCAGAACGGCAAGCTATAGGAGTTATATCCAGAAATGTTGTAAGTATTGCTAGACAATGGCCAATTTGTTTTGGTATTTGTAATTCAGGTATCTGGTTTAATAGCTCAGGAGAAGTTTATTTATATAGAATAGGGACTCCACAGGTCAAATGTGTGAAGTCTTACCTCACTGCCATTGTTTAAACTTTCTGTTGTATTTTGCTTTAATAAGACAGTTTCCATTGGAGAAAAGGATAAACAAAGAAGAAACCAGGGTTACAACTACTCTAGGTAACATTCTTTTTAAAACAACAAATTTAGTTATTGATGACTGTGGATAACATGTTTTCGCTTTATTGTTGTAAAAGTGATTTCTGAAAGCAATAGTGCCTGTGT